GTATATAATTTTTAATTTTATAACATATCACAACATTTAATTTTATAATTCCTCGACATTTGCAGTTAGGAATAATGAATGAAGAAAGATGGATAAAGGAGGAAGAAATGATAGAAAATTAAACAATTATACTCCCAAATAAAAGGCATTCATACCCCGACACTTACAACTGGCAGTAAGAAATGATGAAGGACTAAAAAACCCAGTAGAATCCAACAAAAGATGGCCTCATCCCTAAAGTTCATTCTAACGTAACAAAAATCATTTAAATGGTAAAGAACTTGTCCAACACATCTCTATGAATTATGTTTAATGTATTTTTTAATATATATTAATTTTTATTTTAAATTTTTATAGTTTTATAACATATCATAACATTTAATTTTATAATTTTATAATTCTATAGTTTATTTTTAATTTAATTATTGTTTTATCATGAAATTAAAATGTCGTTGGTCCCCAGAAAGACCATGCATGAGTATTGAAAATCATGATGAACAACCAGTCATCTGCAGTTGGAAGTAAGAATGAAGGTTGAAGAAATGATAAAAAAATTAAAATGAAAATTAAATTAAAATGTTGTTGTTCTCCAAGAAAGACAATGAGTATTGAAAATCAGGAAGAACAAGAAATCGCGAATAATTCCTCGACATTTGCAGTTAGGAATGATGAATGAAGAAAGAAGAAATGATAGAAAATTAAACAATTATACTCCCAAATAAAAGGCATTCATTAAATTAAATTTTCGTTGTTTTCCACAAAAGACAATGAGTATTGAAAATCAGGAAGAACAATAAGTCGCGAGTCATACCCCGACACTTACAATTGGCTGTAAGAAATGATGAAGGACTAAAAAACCCAGTAGAATCCAACAAAAGATGGCCTCATCCCTAAAGTTCATTCTAACGTAACAAAAAGTTTAAAGAAAGAAAGATGAAAAAATCTACTGTACCACACCTGCATTTCATTATATTTATATTTAATATCTATTTATATATTTTAACCAGCATCCACCAACCACCAAGCCAAGTCTCGATCAAGTCGTGCGGAATTGCAAAGAACCAAGGTAAAGAAAGAAAAATGAAAAAACAAAAAAAAACAATTACTTAAAATCCTGGTCTTCTCTCATGGAAGTCACCAGAACGACTGTCCAGAAAACCACCATCTCATATAGTGCTACCTTAACTCATACCAGACCTATATATATATATATATATATATATATATATATATATATATATATATATATATTTATATATGAATATTGCATACTGTATTTGCTTAATTAATTATATTTAAATGTGCTTTTTTATTATATTATATGTTATAGTACTAAAATTGTTTTGATTTAACCAAAACACGTTTAATTTTTAAAAAGTAAAGTATGTATTTTTATTAAGATATTTATTTTTTTCTAATGAAATTTAATATCGTTTTAAACTCAATGGCGCAGATATGTGTCACTCTCCTCAGATTGTAAAGAATTTATTTCGTGCGCCAAATTTGTACAAAATTTCAATCAAATGTTCGTAAATTTGGTAGTGTTAGCGAAATTCTACCGTAATATTCTAACGTCTTATACACGTGAAACTAACCGCGAAAGAAGCCTTTTTCACCGGTAAAACTGAAACATTCCTCACTTTGTAATCTTATACATTTTGGGATACGCGCTTATTTAAAATTTCAGTGAATTAACGTACATTGAGACACAATATTGAAAACAAAAATGGTTGTGAATTGAAAACGTAAGTTCGACATTTTGGCAACGTGGAACCAGGGACACTTACAGTCGTTACAGATGAAAACACATGGAATATCTTAGTGATATTAAACGCCAAGAATATTTAAAAAGGATGTCTGCACGTGGAAAGAGAAAAGCAAAGTCTAGAGATAAATACGTGTGAATGTTCTGTTCCAAATGACATCTTCTTGAGAAAAAAGGCCTTTTCGAAAATGGGCGTTGCTTCGCTATCTGTGGATTTGTTGTGTTTAAGTACAATTTACGCCAATGATGTGTATTTGGTTGATTTTTTCAGTTGATTTCTTCGGTATTTCCAATCTTTTTAAAAAATGAACTCATAACAGTATTTCCCAGACTAGTTCGTTTCGTTTTTATAATAATACGAACAATCATATTTATAAATAGATCATTGAAAAATAATGCTTCTAAGGGATACAGTGGGATACAATTAGTTATTACCCATGCGATACACAATTATCCCGCGTATAAAATGTTTGTTTATTTATCGTGTGTGAGATCGTAGTAATATACTGAAAAGTCGCATTTTTGCTTTTCATTACTTCAAGAAGAGCAATTCGCTGTAAGTATTTTCTTTTAATTTCTTTACATTTTGTTAGTACAGTGATTTTAGTGAACTTGAATATCATTTGTCTGTCTGAAAATGTAAAACATTTCGATGGACACATGGAGAAGGGTATTTAATTAAACATACTTGATATATAGTTGTGTTTGAAATATTTTGGTTCAACGTCGGTAGAATACAAACTTCATTTGGCTATTTGGTGCCTAGTGTATAAAGCATTCCCAAATGCATTTTGGATGGATGAGACGCATTTTATTAACTTGGAATAAATAGCATATAGGGAATGCAAGATTTCAGGGCCGTATTGCTTTAAACAAATCTCACATCATTCAGCTTTGTCATGTTTTTAACACAAGTAAAGCAAACTGCTCATACAGCTATAAAATAGCTTTGTGATAGTTGGTTTTCTTTTTAATTTGTCTCTTGTATTTATGAGACCCTTAATTAATGTTGTTTGTTTGTTTTCACCAAAAAAGCAGACATATTCTGATTAAGAAGTTCATTCATAAAATTATTCTAATAAAAGTTTTTCGTATTTCTAATTTAAACAAAATCATTAACTTTATGAAAAGCTCCAGTTCTTCTGATTGCGTAAACTAAACCGTGACCACTGATTCCAATGTGTACAACACCATAATGTGAAATTTTCTCAGGTGTATTTGTAACTACATATTCAATAAAGCTAGATGACCTAATAGTAATTAGAAGTTGGTTCATTAAGTTTGAAGTTTGAGATGTAGTAATAATACATAAAATATTGTACCAATTCATATATTATAATGGTGTTACTGATTCCAAAAATCCAAATAGATCGGTGAATCGGTCTAATCTAAGAAGTTTCATTGTATTATGACACAAATTATAAGGATTATAATAGTGCTACAGCTTACAACGTTAATATAGAGATCAGTTTTAACCTGCGCTAATTTTTGCGGGTTTTTGTGTTCTTTTTCCATTTTTTTCCGACTGTACGTCTTCGTGCGAGTAATTTGGGTCGATGGGATTCATTGAAATAAAAAAATTACATGTATTTCAAAGAATTATCGCCGGATCTTGCAAAGATCGGTACGATCAGTGAGAATTCCTTACCAGGCTTTCTGACCGTGGGTTTTTGTCCAACGACAAAAACCCACGGTCAAGAGGCCTGGTAATTGATGCTTAAACGCTTAGTCAGCGAATTTAAAGTGCTACAGTTTTAAATCACTAATTCACCCGTTTTTTGTTTTTCTTCTATTTCTTACGACTATTGGGTTCATGGGATTTATTTAAATCTAAAAATTACATGTAGCTCAGCCTGGTAATTGAATTGCTTAAAAGCTTAGTCAGCGAATATAAAGTGCTACATCCTAGGGCATCGCTATAGAGATCAGTTTGAAATATAACAATAACAATGATATTAATAATTCCTATTTAAAAAAAATTCCAATTTCTAATTATTACCATTCCAACCATTTTTAAGAGTTTACATGGAATTTATGTAAGAACAGTGCTTATAGAAAAACTATTAATAGAGTATATTAACATATTAATAAGAATTATCCATTGTTATATCAATGATTATCAACTAACAAAATATGAAACTTATGCATTCTGTATTTCCTTTTAGCATTTCCTTTGGGTGTGCTAAGGGAGAGGATTGGAGTATATACACCAAAATGTCTTCTGTAAGTATTGTTTATATAAACTATGATTATTTTTTAACCAAATGGGCAACAATAAGTCATGCATATTTTCACAGTGTGTTAATCTTTTCCCTCTTGTGCAGTTTTCGCTGCGCTTCGATGCTTGCACAGACATTGGTAATTGTTAAATCTGTGTAAACTTTATTGTGCACTTCCATGGAATGACCAATACCTTTTGCTATTGCCCGTCTTTCCGTATCAGTTAGCTGTTCATTCCCAGCTGTTGCAACCGCATGTCGAATCTTTGTTGCTGTAATGTGCTTGTCATGGTTCTTCGTAACTTTTGTGACAGATTTTCCTGGCTTGGCTAACATTCGTCCGGATGCATTCAAGAACACATTTTGCTTGTAGGGTGATTTAGGTTTCGCCTGGGGTCTTACATATTTCAAATAGTTATGTAGCTGTATCCATACTGTTTCAGTAAATGGCACAGGAAGTGGCCCATGCGTTGCGAATGTTTTATGATTTAAGACAAAAACTATATTGTATACTGTACCATCAGTAGGTGATATGTATACTACAGGATTGTCTATTTCTTGCAAAGTCATAAATTGAAATGCCCCTGGTCTTATTGCACTTTCCTGTGTTATAGTTATTGTGATAAGTGTATCAACAATAAGCCTGTACTCCTCTTGGGTAAGTTTCTTTTTTGACATTGCTCGTTTCATGATTGCAATGAATCGAGCAATTGTATGTTCAGAGACAGCTGTGTCTATATCTTCCATGGTTAGGTTAAACCCACACAACTCATTCCTCCAGGAATTTTGCATTCGTAGAACCTTTTTTTGTTTTGCAAGTGGCTTAAGCCATTCAGAATATTCTGCAATAGCTCTTTTGCATTTCGTGTGAATCTTTGGTTTTTTATGGCCGAGGAATTTCAGGGCTATTGTAATTCTTTCAATCTTTGATTTAAGCCCATCAGGGCCTAAACCAGCATCTTTTGTAGTAATAAGATAATTGTTGAGTGCTTTGGCATCCAACAGCCTATTCCATTTCAGCTTGGTGGAAAAGAAAAATATAGGAATCTATTTCAAGAAAACAAAATGTCAGTCTCAATTTTATATTCTCGTTGTTTCTTGCAGACAATATCTAAATCTATTAAATACCAACCTGCTAACTTCACTTGCTATTTCATCTGTGCATGCGAGTTGGCCGCCAGATGGCGATTTGAGCCATGAGATGAACTTTTCAAACTTACTCATAGGAAACTTCTTATAAAGGCCTTTACACCTTAGAATCTCAAACATTTGTTTTCTGCTCGATGGTGCATTTTGTTTCTCTCGCAAGGCTGAAACTGTCATTGCGTTAATTTGCATCGACCCTTGATGTTCTAGATAATTGTCTAACAATTCGTTCTCATGTCTAGTAACGCTTTCTCCCTCTTGCGGTTCATTGGAATCAAAGTCATGTTCTTCTGGTCGTAGTTTTTTGCGCTTTGGAGCGACATTGTAGAATCGTTTCTGGTTTTTCCGACGTTTCTTATTTAAGCGTATTCCTCTGCCAAGACTGCACGTTATAACCTATAATATCATGGAAATAATCGGTGATTAATTAATTGCGCAAATAAAAGGGAGAAAACGTAAATTCATTCTTCATCTTGCCTTAAAATTGTCCAAATCAATATGTGTTAGCCCTGTTTGTAGAATAAAGTCGGAATAAACCTCCTCGGGTGTTGGACACTGAACATCTTTAGTTTGTTGAATAATAGAAAAATTTTCTTCCCAAAACCGTGAGACCTTCAGTCTGTCATCCATCCTTCAGGTATCAAGAGTGTCATTGTTATGCCTGTGTAACGCGACACCGCGGAAATTGGTATAGACTTAGCCGCAATTCTCAATACTTAGACTTCAAACTTGGTGAGAAAAAATATTTATGAATATTCAAGAAAATATGCCTTGCACAAAAGATTTGAAGCTTGCACACGGTAAAAACGAATCGTCTGAATTAATAACATTTTGTATACTTTAAGCGTCAAAATAGCCATTTCATAGCGGTCATATGTGTATGAGCTGTCAAAAGGTTGCAGAATGCGTATTCAGAAGAGAAATTGAACGTTTTTAAGATATTCAAAAGGTTTCTCTTTGATTGCGGTACAGAAATGCACAATTCTGGGTTGAAACTTCTTAAACACCAGTCTCTGTGGTGTCCTGTAACGCCAGCATATCAAATTTCAAAGGTCTTTCCGAACTAACAAACATCGCCCTTGTTTTTCAGCTTATTCAGTTAAAACAATATTGGCTCGAGTGGCAGCCTACGGACCCGGCAAACATTATCGAATCCCTCAGGTAATGATAATTTTTACGTATTCCATTCGGCATTGATGATGATCGATCCATCCTGGATCGCCCTGGCATACCTAGTGCCAATTGTAAGATTAATGAAGTTTAAAACAAATTTTTGGGATTAGGTGTTATTAACAGTAGCAAGGTTTCACAACTGTATGTTTCTAACGTGCGATTTTACCTTTTCCCAGTGCGGACACCAGCGGATTGAACGTTATTCCATGCATTCGGTCCCGATCAGGTAATCATTAATTTTTTTCTGTATTGCATTTAATATACATTGCGTTTGGTTTTGCGTTGCGTTGTGTTTTGCGTTGCGTTGTTGTTTCGATTTCCGTTTCTGTTTGATATGAAGCGAGGTTTCTTAAAATACTACAAATCTACAACGTGACTTTCATGCATAATTCTTTCTGTATCGCATTCTCGGGACTTTATAAATCGTGTTTGGTTTTGCGTTGCGTTGCGTTTGGATTTATAATTCTATAATTAACAGGGGAGCTATCGTTTGGTTTAGAAACGAGCGTGGTATACAACTGAAGTTTCAATTTAGTATGGGTAGATTTAAGCAAAAAGCGAGCCTATATACATCGATGAAGCGAGCTTTCTTAAGATACATCAAATCCGTTGATGGTTTTTAAAATCTTTTAAGTTTAGTGTAATATATAAGTTACTTTTGTGTTCGAATTTTGATTATATGTTCGGCTAATTATTTGGTTCTTTATCTCGCTGCCAAGGCTGACGTGCGGTGCTACGGACAAGTCAGTTTGCACCCATAGGTCTTGCAGTAATGATAATACCATCTATCTATATATTGTTCAAGAATGAAATGGTCACGCAAGCATGGAGTATGATTTCGTGAGTTACTTCGTGATTAGTGTACTCCGTTTCAACATTCCTTGCTTAGTTTTGTGATATTTCCTTCACCCGAAAAGCCTCTAAAACTCTAAACCCTAACCCTAACCCTAACCCTAACCCTAACCCTAACCCTAACCCTAACCCTAACCCATACCCTAAAAAAATCCAAAATTTTAATTTGCTCGAACAAATTTGAAAAAATGTTTAAAATTAAGAAAATATTTTTTGAGCCTAAAAAAACTGGTGATGTCCCTGGAAAACCTTTTAAACTCCTAAAAATTTAAAAAGAAGAAAAACCAACCCTATGGCAAACCCTTGACCCCATGGCAAACCCCAACCCTAAGGCTGACCGTTTCTCGCCTCTGAGACCGTAATTTTCTCTCCTCCTCTCTTCTCTCCTTTTTCCTCTCCCTCCTCCCCCCTCTTCCCTCCCCTCTCCCCCTCTTCCCTCCCCTCTCCCCCTCCTCCCTCCCCTCTCTTCCCCCTTTTCTTCTCTTTTTTTTCTCTTTTTTCTCCCCTGTTTTTTCCCTCCTTTTTTCCCCCTTTTTTCCCTCTATTTTCTCCCCCTTTTTTTCTCCCCCTTTTTTTCTCCCCTTTTTTTTCTGCCTTTTTTCTTCCCCTTTTTTTCCCCTTTTTTTTCCCCCTTCTTTTTCCCTTTTTTTTCTCTCCTTCTTTCTCCCCTTTTTCCTTCTCCTTTTTCCTTCCCTTTCTTTCCCCTCCCTTTTTTTTCCTTTCTCTCTCCTCTCCCTTCCTTTCCCTCCCTTCTCCCCTTCCCTTCCTTCCTCCCTCTCCTTTTCTCTCCCCTCCTCTCCCTCTCCCCCTCCCCCTCTTCCCTTCTCTTTCCTCTTCCCCTTTCCTTTCCTTTTCTCCCTTCCCTTTTCTTTTCTTTCCTTCTCCTTCCCTTAACCCCCTTCCCTTTTCCTTCTTTTCATTTTCTCCTCTCTTTTCTTCCTTCCCTCTTCTCTCCTTTCCCTCCCCCTCCCCTTCTCCCCTTCCCTCCTTTTCCTTCCCCTCTCCTTTTGTTTTTTCCCTTCCCTTTTTTCCCCTTCTTTTTTTCCCCCTTCCCCTTTCCCTCTTCTCTTCCCTTCCCCTTCCTCTTCCTTTCCTTTTCCCCTCTCCCTTTCCCTCTTCTTTTCCCTTCCTTTTTTCTTTTCCTTTCCCTTCTCCTTTCCTTTCCCCTTCTCTCTCTCCTCTTCTTCCCCCTTTCCCTCTCCTTTTTCTTTCCCCCTCTCCCTCTTCTTTTTCTTCCCCCTCTCCCTCCTCTTTCCTCTTTCCCCTCCCTTTCTTCTTTCTTCTCCCCTTCTCCCTTTCCTCTCTTTCCCCTCTCCCTCTTTCCTTTCCCCTTCTCTCCTCTTTCTCTTTCCTTCCCCTCTCCCCCCTTTCTCCCCCTCTCCCCCCCTCTTTTTTCCCTTTCCTCTTTTTTCCCCTCTTCCCCTTCTTCTTTCCTCTTTTTCTTCTTTCCCTCTCCCTCTCCTCTCCTTCCTTTTTTCCCCTTCCCTCCTCTTCCCTTCCCCTCTCCTTCCCTTTTCCTTCCCTTCTCTTTTCCTCTCTCTTCTCCTTTCCTTTCCCTTCCTTTCCCTTTTCCCTCTCTCTTCTCCTTTCCTTTTCCTTCCTTTCTCTTTTCCCTCTCTCTTCTCCTTTCCTTTCCCTTCCTTTCTCTTTTCCCTCTCTCTTCTCCTTTCCTTTCCCTCTTTCTCCCTCCTCCCTTCTTTCCCCCTTCCTTTTCCTCCCCTCTCCTTCTCCCCTTCTCCTCCCCTCTTTTTTTTCCTCCCCCTTTTTTTTCTCCTCCCCCCTTTCTTTTTTCCCCTCCTTTTCTTTTTTTCTCCCCTTTTCTTTTCCCCTCTTTTCCTCCTCTCTCTCTCCCTCCCTCCCTCCCCTTTTTTTCTTCCCCTCTTTCCTCCCCCCTTCTTTCTTTTCTTTTTTCTCTTCCCTTCTTTTTTCTTTCTTCTCTTCCCCTCTCTTTCTTCTCTTTTTTCCCTCCTCCCTTTCTCTCTCCTTTTTTTTCCTCCCCTCTT